CTGCTATTTATATTCAGGCGAGGGGGGCCATATCAAGGGATTGTGGTTCTGCACCCGAGGACGCGGCTTCGGCGCTGGTCGTGGACATCACCGCTGGCGCTGACGAGCCCTTCAAGGACTTCCTCGGGCCCTTCGTGGAGTCCTTGCACGCGCGCGTCCCCAGGCGCTGCATGCTCGGATGGAAGAAGAGGGTAGTCGAGACCATCGTCACCCTCCGGACCCACGAGGGCGAGTTGTGTATTGGCGACGGGTGTTCTGGCACGGGTATCTTCAGCGTCTGCATGGGCTCCCTCCTGGACTATTGGACGAAGGAGTTCGAGGGGGCCGCCAGCGTCCTCAAGATTGCGATATCGGCGGACATCGAGAGTGATCGGCAGGCTTTCTTGGATGACCAGCACGACGTCGAAGTGCTGGTCTCGGACGTTAACGAGTTCGGCATGAGGAAGGTTACGGATGTTAGGACGGGCAGGCAGTGCTACCTGCCGGAGTCGCAAGTGTTCGGAGGTGGTTTCAGTTGCAAGGGCGTTACGTTGCTTAACAACACCCGAACGCCAGGAGCAGCACGACGCAATGTGGGCCAGACGGGACAAACCTTCCGCGGCACCAAGGAGTACATCTGCAAGGTCCGCCCCAAGATCAGCTTTTTGGAGAATGTGCCCCGGATCACGCAGGAATACGTCTTCGAGGGAGTCTCTACCTCCGACAAGCAGTTCATCGTCGATACGTTCAGGGAGGCTGCGTTCACCGTCATGTACCTCGAGATCTCGGCGGCAGCAGTGGGGTGCCCCAAGGAGTTGGTGAGGTCATGGTTCATCATCTTCGACATCCACCCGAAGATCGCGGCAGAGCTGGATGTCGAGGGCAACTTCAATGAGATGATTGCTGCCTTATGCGCATCTCCCGATCAGCACATGTCTTACAACGACTTCAAGGTGGACATCGAGAAGCTCGAACGCGACTTCCCTTACGCTTTGCATAAGACTGGCAACGCCAAGAAGACGAAAACTGACCCTGACTGGAAGACGGATCACGAGCGGTTGTTTAGCGAGGCGCGGTACGAGTGGCCGCCGGCCGACCCGCCGAGCGGTTTCAGGGATCGGGAGGCGGAGCTGGTGTGGTATTGCGACAAGAAGTTCCCGGCGGAGGGGGATGGGTGGGACTTCTTCGATTCCAACCACAGCGCCGAGAGGACACTGAAGCCTGGGTCCGATAAGTCCCCATGGAAGAGTACCATTCCCACTTGTACTGGGGGCACTTCGATGGCTTGCCGCTTGACTGAGGACGGCAAGACGAAGTCGATCCACCGCCTGCACCCCGTCGAGATTTTCAGGATGAACCTCTGGGACGTGAGTCGCTTTTGCAAGCCGCGCATCCCCGAGAACGCGGACAAGGTGACGTTCGACTCGCTCAACGAGATGGCCGGGAACATGTGGAGCGGCTACCACGTCGTGCCCATCATCATGGCCTCTTTCGGGGCGGTCTCGTGGACACAGGTGGAGGATGCCACCGCGCGGATGGTTGTGGAGGAGTCGAAACAATCGCAGGGCCAGGTGAACGTTTCCAGCGCCGAGGGCGCGCCGGTGTCCGATGATTCCGATTAGCGGCTTGCGGGCGTCTCTTGTTTTTGAGTAGAACGCTGGTGCCGAGGAGTTGTCTTAGCCGCGGCTGGGGGCTGCGCGGCTGAGCGCTGCGCCTTCGCACCTCACGCTCGGACCTTATGCGGGCGCGGGTGCCGTTCGCATCGCCTTCGACCGAGCTCCCTGGGGCCACGAAACGAATACCGAATGCCCATTGCCGCAGGACGGTTAGGAACAAGCGTTTCGCGTGATACATCAATCCATAAGTAAGCCTGGCGAAGGACCCAACCCCATCTTATCTGTCCCAAGCGGCGCCCTGGGCGAAGGACCCAACCCAATCTTATCTTATCTGGCGAAGGACTCAACCCAATCTTATCTTGTCTGCGCGGCCGGCCGCCGCGCATGGATGCTCGGCGCGCTGGGGCGACAGCGAGGGCGAGGGGGGGTTGGAGGAGGGAGGGTGGAGGACTGGTGGAGGGGGGGCGGATGGTTGCAGGAGCGAGGGAGGAGGGGGGGACTTGAGGGCGGGGGGACGGGCGCCTAGTTTACGCTTGGGCCAACTTGGCACGTCTTGCATCCTTGCACCCACCATCCGTAGCCATCATCGCAGCTTCGAGGCTCATCATTGCTGCAGGGCTCGGCCCGCTTGCTGGGCTTCTGAGCTCAGCTCCGTGCGTCGCTCCCCGCCGAATGCCAATCATGGCTGCGACTCCGCCTGCGTCGGAGGAGGCGGCATCGGCATCGTGGTGCGACAGCCCGCAGAGGCGCGAGGGGTATTGGACCATGCACGTGCACGTGCCGCAGGCAAAGACGTGGATCAAGATCGACGTGGAGAAGGACCGCGCCCAGGCCGGCTTCGCGGCCAACGCGCGCGGCGCCGCGTGCCGAGTGCCCGTCAGCATCGTCAAGTTGGAGCTCGAGGACCGGCTCAGCATGTTCGTGCAGAAGCATATGCGGGTCTACAAGTGCAGCGCGGAGGCTGCGCAGGGCAAGTCCTTGCAGAACGAGAACGACGTATACTACCTTACTTGGCTCACCGCCTGGACCGCAGACTGCGACGCGAAGTACGCGCCGAAAGTCGTCGACGATTGGGAGATGGTCACTTCACGCATCAAGTGGAACTACGAGGCCCCGAAGGAGGACGCGAACATGCTGAAGGTGCCGATCTACATCGACCCGTGCTCGCGGTGGGAGGTGGTGCACGTGTACAACATGGCGGATCTTACTTCGGGCAAGCTGTGCGCGACGGTGCTGGACCTGAAGCGGATCATCATGGCGGGCTTCGAGGACATCGTGGTTGGCAAGATCTCGCTGAAGGTGGACACCTGGATGGTGGAAGTAAAGATGTGTTCGGGCAGCTGCCCTGTTGGGTCTGAGTTAAAGGATACCGACGCGGTCTACGATGGCAAGTGGTACTACGTGACGTGCAACAATCTGCTTAGCGAGCTCAGGAAGATGGACAGCGATGAGACGAAGGTCAAGGCCGCCAACGAGGACGTGCAGTAGGCAGCCCATCTTCACCCCAGCCTTAAGAGTAAGAGTTAACAGGATCGCCGGCCTTTTTTTGCAGGATAGCTACTTTGCGCACTGTTTTGTGTGCCGCGGTGGATGGGCCCTGGATGGGGCGTAGTTGCTTCCTGTTGCGCGCAGGCCGACTGCGATTGCACCAGCTGTCGGGAATACCGACCCAGTGCGAGTTGAAAGGGTAATCATGTAGAGTGGTGTGGACATCATATAAGCCCTATGGGGCCCTTGGAGCCTCGTGGGAATCATATGCGCCTTAGGGGGCCTTCGAGTGATGCGGACATCATGTGGAGTGATGTGATGTAGCAAGCATGCGAACAATCTTGGAGCCTCGTGGGTAATCTTGGAAGACCCTCGGTTGGGCCAGAATGCCTTAAGCATCTCCTCCCCATCCTATCGTGCCCTCCCTCTCCCTCCCTTCCTCCCCATCCTATCCTGCTCTCCCTATCCCTCCCTTCCTCCTATCCCTCCCTTCCTCCCCTCCCTCTCCCTGCCCTCCCTCTCCCCCCCCCCCCCTTCCCCTGAAAGAAAGCAGCGGTTGCTGGACCCTGTCGCCCTTCTGCTTCTGGGCCTTCGAGGGCCCCGTGTGGGTGAGCACGGGCCCGGCGGGGGCCCCGTGCTCCCTGGCCGCGCGGGGGCCCGCCCGCTGGAGGTAGACAGGGACCTCAACCCCCCCCCCCCCCTGGCGCTTGCAAGGTGGTCGTTGCCTGCGGGCTCCACCCTGCGAGCGCTAGGGGGGAAGGGTGAGGTCCCTGTTTCCTTCCCCCTTTTTTTCTTTTGAACCTCACGCCCCCCCGCTTCTGCTCGCTCGCTCAGCCCTAAGCCTTAATCCCCCAAGCCGTCAGCTTTAAGCCCTCAGCCCGCAGCCCTCACCCCCTAAGCCCAAAGCCCTCAGCCCTCGCCCAAGCCCTACGCCCCAAGCCCTAAGCCCGGCGCGCCCTGTTCAAAACGAGGACCCAACACCGCAGGGTGGTTTTAACGAGGACCCACCACCACAGGACGATATGTCTGCCCTAAGCCCTAAGCCCTAAGCCCGGGGCGCCCTGTTCAAAACGAAGACCCAACACCGCAGGATGGTTAACGAAGACCCACCACCCCTGGACGGTTTGTTTGCCGATGCCGCTTTTTGCCCGAGATTTTCTCAGATCTCAGATCTTGCAGCGGCGCGCAGCGGCTGGACACGCTGATGGACCAGGATCGAGGGGCCAAGCGGGCGCGGGCCTTCCGCCCCTCATCTTCGTCGTCCTCCTCCTCCCCCTCCTGCCCTCCTCACCCCCCCCCGTCCCCTCCCCCCCCCTTCTCCCCCGCCCCCCTTTTACCACTTCGCCCCCTCGCCGCCGAAGGGCCCTTGTCTCCCCTTCCCTCTCCTCCCCGTTCCTCTTCTCCCTCCCCTGTGCTCCACCCCCGTCCTTCCCACTGCCTCGTCTCCTCCCACCCATCCTTCCTCCTCTTCCTCCTCCTCCTTCACCTCCTCCTCCCGCCCCGTTCACCTCTTTGCTTTTCTCGAGGATGCGCTCGAGGACTTGCTTTCTCTAGAGGACGTGGCGCCCCCTGGGCCTCCGCTAGCGAAAGCGCCGAGGCCATCCAGGACCAAGGTGGCGTCTCGCGGCGGGGGTGAGGATGAGTTCGGTTTCGGCGGCGACGAGGTGTCAGCCAGAAGGTCCAGGCCAAAAAAAATCACGCTCGTGGATAAATATCAAGCTGCCTGCGGCAAGTCCCGCCACCTGTGGCAAGGATGAACAACATGATAACGATCACGACGACGATGATAATGACGATGCTGCCGACGATAACGATGACGATCATGATGATGCAAATGATCAAATGATCATGATGCTGATGACGATGATGACGATGACGAGGGGGCGAACCCTTACCCTTAGGATATTTACAGATACCATGCCTATCAGACGCCTCAACGTGCGGGGAGGCACGGTGGCGGATTCGGCCAAGACGAGGGGATGCAAGTGCACCATATGTGGGAAGGCCGACAATTCGCCAGACCCTGTCACGCCGGAGCACAGCAGGTTGTGGGCTTCTTACAAGGTCTCATGGGTCTTGAAGGGTCGGCGGCGGCGGCGGCTGGGGCGGGGCTCAGAGGGGCCCCAAGGCGGCTCATAGACTCATAGAGGGCTGAAGAGGGCCCCGAGAGAGCCCCAAGCGACGGGACCTCACTTCAACCACGCAGCCAGGGACAGTGAATGACCGTTCGATCCCCTCGCTCTGATTGGTGTCGTCGGGTTTTCCGCGTGGGCCATCTCGGAGCCCCCCCTGGGCGGTCGAGTTCCTGCGAGACGGTCTGGGAAGGGAAGGCCCCTAGGGGGCCCAAGACGGTTCGAAGAGCTTCGCGCTGTTGCGCGCGCTGCTGCCGCTGCTGCTTCGCTCGCAAGGTCGTCAAGGCAAAGAGCGGGGATGTCTTTGCCCTTGAGTATACCACCGACGGGCCGCACTGCTGGTACTGCCTTCGCGTCTACGACTCCCGCTACAAGACCGAGTACCCGAAAGTGGCCAACTTCGTGACTAAGTACGTCGAGGTGCACGCGATCCACGAGCAGTTCACGAAGTACTCGGCGTGGCTCGTCCAGAAGATTCTCGACTGGGTCGAGGAGGGCAACGACAGGGAGCTCATGTGCCAGCTGACTTGGCCGCAGGCGACGCAGCTGGATCAGCTCACGATCTTCGAGACGGTCTGGAACCTCCCGCCGCAGAGATGCGTCGAATTGAAGGATTACTCTCACGGTGACCCCGCCACGAACGGCCGCGGCGACAAGAAGATAAAGGGCCCCGGCGGAGTTGACTTGGTAGAACTGAATGAGCCGAGGATCTGGACGAAGGAGCGGAAGATCATCTCGCAGGCGCGCAGGACAGTCACTGTCGTTGACCAGTCCGACCCCTTGGCAGCCGATCACGCGGACCACCAGCTCAAGGCCCTGGGGAAGCAGATGATGAATGGCAACTTCGACCTCGCAGCCTCCTCCGCATGCGGCAGCAGCTGTAGTGGCCAACCAGCGCGCGGAGGCCCGAGCCCAGGGAAGGCGCCCGAGGTCCCTGGCGATAGCTTTGGCCAACAGGGCGCTGGCGTCGTAGACGCTGCTGAAGCAGGCGGCGCGAAGGTGGAGGGCGACGCCGAGGTCAAGCGCAGGAGGCGGGTGGGGGCGCCTACTGAGGCCGCCGCGAAAGGTGGCGAGAGCGGCGGAGCTCCCGCGCCCCCCAAGCGCCGGCAGGGCAAGGCCAAGGCCAATGCCACCGAGCTTGCTGCTGTTGGAGATGGCGTTGGCGCCGGAGGCCAAGCGAAGAAGAAGAGGGGCCGCAAACCCAACGAGGGCGACAAGATGCTGACGCAGGGGTTGAAAGAGCTGAAGGAGGCAAAGTTGAACGCCAAGAAGTTCTACGGGGCCGAGTGGAAGAACACGAAGAGGAACTGGGGCAACTACCTGGCCTCCCTCAGCGAGCAGATCGAGCACGAGGAGGACGAAGGAGCTCTCGAGAGGCTGGAGTTAGTTCAGAGGTCGGCATCTTGCGCGCGGAAGGTCCTCCATGTGATCTCCTCGAAGGGTTTGGAGTCGAAGGAGTTTGCTGAGATCTATGCCGAGCAGGTCGAGTGGCTCCAGCAGTTCCGTGGGGCCACGAATCCTTTTCCGAAAATTTTGCAGCAGCGGGCCACCCGCGCGGCGGGCGCGCATGCATGGCCCCCGCCTCGCTTCTGGCCGCTCCTGAGCGACAGCGAACTCTCCTTCTTGGACCAAGTTGACGACTTCCAGGTGGAGCTCTTCGGCGAGAAGATCCTGGCCATTGTGCACGAGAATACGCCCGACGACATGAAGGCCACGTTAGGGGAGCTGGTCGCCGCGTTCGCCCCTTACGCCGACCAGTTCCAGAGCCGCAAGCTCCCCGCGGAGGTGGAGACGTTGCAGGTGATCGTGCGCGCCCCGGACTACCCGCCCGAGCTGTCCCCGGAGGAGCGCGCCAAGAAGCTGGGAGAGTGCCTCGCTAACTTCAGCACGTTCCACGCCGGGTCCGCGCTGACTGCGGCCTCCAAGGACGAGGTAACTCCAAAGGGTTCGATGGGGATCTAGATTTTGGAGTTCACGTTTCCGTCCCTCTCCTCCTTCTTCCGCCTCTTCGCCCCCTCTCCATGCGGGAGAGGGGGAGGGGGGATGGGGGGGCGTTTCGAAATGGGGGGCCCTCGGCCCATGGGCCCAATGGAGGTGGAGAAGGGAGGGGGAGGAGGAAGAGGAGGAAGGAGGGGCGACGGGGGGGAAGGAAGAGGGGGGAAAGCGAGGAGAGGGGGAGGAGGAAGGGGGACGAGCGGGAGAGCTTTCAGTCACCCTGAGGGCCGCGACATCGTCAAGGCGGCTCGCGACCGCCTGAGAGACCTCGAGTCCGCGGTCAAGCAGCATAAGGATCTCACGACGAAGTGGCAGGTGACCATGGAGCTCTCCCCGGGCGCCCTCGGGGAGATTGGCGGTCTGATCAAGGCCATGGGGTCCGAGGCCGCCGAGAAAGTCCTCACCGAGGAGGCCCTGACCGAACTCAAGAAGAAGATCACCGGCGCCGTCGTCGAGGCGATCGGCCACGACCCCGACAAGGAGATCGACCAGCCCAAGTACGAGAATCTGTCCGCTTTTGCGAAGGCCATGGAGGAGGCCGTCGACGTCGACTGGGCGCGGCCGTCGGTTCGCTTCGCCGAGGCGGGGTCTCTCCTGTCGGGCGCCTTGCACACTGCGACTCTCTACGACGCGTGCAAGAGCGCGCATGAGATCCACAAGGACACGGCCGTGAAGCTTGCATCGACTCTCGGCGACACCGCCGGCCTGCTCTTCGACTTGGTGGAGGGCTGCCTCGGCGAGGCGCCTCGCCTTGGTCTCTGCGCTTGGTTCGAGAAGGCTGCCAAGTCAGAGGTCGGCTGCAAGTGCATGACGGAGGCACTCGCGTCGGTGGCCCCGGCGTTGGACTCGCGCAAGGCCGTCTGTCGCGATTTCTTCGGCGGCACCACCGAGGTCGTGCTGAAGCCCGATAGCGACCTCTCGAACTACGCGACGTTCAAGATCGAGGGAGACCTTCCGAAGACGCTCGGGGTGTTGAATCAGATAGCAGACAGGAAGCTCGTGTCCTTGGAGCTCAGGTTCATCGAGAAGTTTGGCGACCTCGTGAGCGCCTGCACGAAGGCTTACGACGCGCGCCGGAAGCTGAATACGCGCCAGGAGCGCAGGATGTCCGAGTCCAGCGTAAAAGAGATGACCACCGTGACCATGCGCCTGAAGGAGCTCGACACTTTCATGGAGTCCGTCGCCAAGAAGGGCCTGACGTTGTTCCCCGCACCCGTTCCCCAAGATGGAATGGAGGCGTTCGTCAAGCGGCCGATGTCGATTGGCGCAGTTCTCAACATGGGCCCATTCGTCGCCACCGTTGCAGGCTTTAAGGAGTTCTTGGCTGATGCTACGCAGGCTTGGTTGAAGGACTGCCTGGATATGTCTAACCACGTGAAGAGCTACGTCTTCGCGATGACCGATCAGCAGAAGGACTCGATTCTCAGCGCCGACCTCCAGGGAACGCTCGACTCCCTCGTGCAGCCGTCCCAGATCCAGCGCTGCGCCAAGGCGGCCTCTCTGTTGTCGGTGTGGCGCAATTGGTTGAAGAACCTCGGCGTGTTGACTCCTGGGGACTTCAGGGACGTGGGGCTCACGATCGATTCGTTGTCGCAGTGCTCTCAGTTCGGGGCCGCCGCGCGCAAGATCTATATCGAGCTGCCTAGCGTCCCCAACAGGGTGATGCGCAAGAGGGCGGCCGAGGCCTTCAAGAAGGAGAATAAAGTCGCGGTCGGCTCAGACCTCTCGAGGCGCTTGCAGGCGCTCATTGAGGGCGAGCCGGCGGCTGCCCAGCAGCCGCCCGAGGCCGCGACGGAGCCCGCCACGGCTGCCTAGCTCAGTGCGGGGGAGGAGGAGGACAAGGAGTAGGGAGGAGGAGTAGGGGTGATGAAGGGGGGGAGGCGAGGGGAAAGGGGGGGATGAGGAGGGCGAGGAGGATGAGGATGATGATGACGAGGAGTAGGAGTGAGGATGGAGTAGGGGGGAAGGATGACGAGGACGATGAGGATGACGATGACTAGGATGATGAGGATGACGAGGAGTAGGAGTCAGGATGAGGATGAGGATGACGAGGAGGATGATGATGAGGATGAAGTAGGAGTAGGGTGAGGATGAGGAGGACGGAGAGGGGAAAAGGGGATGGGCTAGGGTTGCTGGCCAGCTCGCGCGCCCTGGCGCGCTCGGCGCTAGGGCTGCTGGCCAGGCCGATGCAAATGGGGCTGCGTCGGAAAAGGCCGAGGTTCGAGGATCGAGGTTCGAGGATCGAGGAGGTTCGAGGATCGAGGTTTCCAGGATCCGAGCCTCCAGGGTTGATTTTTTCGGGCGCGTTTCTGAGCCTTCCTGGTCTTCAGGGCCGCCTTCTGGGCCTCCAGGGGCGCCCCGGGGAACGTCGGGGGGTCGTCGTCGTCGGTCGTCGGTCGTCGGTCGTCGTCGTCGTCGAGGTTCGAGGATCGAAGCTTTTGAGGATCCGAATTGGCGGATCGGATTTTCGGTCCCGTTTCTAAGCTTTCCTAGGCTTCCAGGGGCGCCTCCTGGGCCTCCTGGGGGGCCCGAGGAGGGGTCGGGGGGTCGTCGTCGTCGTCGTCGTCGTCGGTCGTCGGTCGACGTCGTCGTCGTCGAGGATCGAGGTTCGAGGATCGAGGGTCGAGGTTTTTTGAGGACCCGAATTGGATGATCGGGTTTTCGGGCGCGTTTCTGAGCTTTGCTGGGCCTCCGGAGGCGCATCCTGGGCCTCCGGGGGCGCCCCGGGAGATGTCATGGGGATCGTCGTCATCAGGCGGCGAGTTTGGGCATTGCCAAGTGTGGTTGCACGATGTATATCATTACTTGTTCGGTGATCTATATAATACATATATGTTACTTACATTTCTTATTTATAAGGTGTATAATATACTTATATCTATTATGTTCTATTATTATGTTTATGATCGTGTTATTTGTATATATTATGCCTATACTGTGCGTAAAGTATATTATATTGTATATATGTATGTATTGTTGTATATGTATTATTATATGTTTATGTAATATATTATTATATTAATCTTTGTTATGATATTATTATTCATGTATTCGGACGTGTTTTTCATGTTTCTTTGCATTTCTTGATCGCTCTTGAAATTCAAGCATTGCAACAGGTCCATCCGGGACTGTCAAGGCAATATGAAAGCAAGGGACGAGAAGAACAAGGAGTTAATGAACCAGTTTTGGACAGAGAGGTACGTGAATCTCGACTGGAGGGAGATCGGCAGGGCACGTGGGCACTTTCGCATCAAGACCCACCGCAAGGAGGAGGGGGCAGTGCAGGCGTGCACGCTGTATATGCAATTCCACACGCGGGATCCGATCGCAGACGTCCTTTGCGGGTTGATGGAGGAGTTGGTGAAAGTGGAGGGGGGGGGCTCTTCATGGTGGGAGCAGCGCCTCGGGGCCCCTTCGAGCGCGAGCTGTCCAAACAAGTAGGAGTGAGCAGCAAGTGAGGGCCTTTGCGAATAGCGTCAGATATCAGCAGCTGTTAGACAGAGGTTTGATAGTTGCGCCAGCTGCACAGCAGGTAATACAGACGTATGCGCATGAGAATCCCCCCACTGTTCCAGTCGTAGTTTTACCCCAGCCGAAGAGCATGGGGAGAGGGAGGGGTGGGTCTCGTGGTCGGGGTCGTGGTCAAGCGTCGTCGGTTGGGAGGGGGGAAGGAGTGAGCAGCGGAGCGACGGAGCGTGAGAGCGCCCGCGCGCCCGCCTCCCTCCCGCCGTGAGAGAGTGGTTTGGAGTCCGCGGAGTTCTACACAGGACCTCGCGCCGTGCGTGCCCGCGCCTCGAGCCCTCTGCGTGGGGGCCAAACGGCTGCGGGCCGGCCAGTGCTGCCTAGCGCAGAGTGCAGCACTTGGCCAATCGATGCAAGGAGGAAGTTTTGCAAAGCCTTTCTCAGAATCCTTTAGGAGGCACTCTGGAGCGAATTTTTGTAAGTATTCTGGCTTCTCTGATGCTGTCTTGGATTCCACGAGCTCGAATCGAATCCTCCTCCTCCTGCTCCTGCTCCTTCTCCTTCTCCTCCTCCTCCTCCTCCTCCTCCTCCTCCTCATCCTCCTCCTCCTCCCCCCTATCCTCCTCCTCCCTCCTCCTCCTCCTCCTCCTCCTCCTCCTTCTCATCATCATCATCATCATCTTCCTCCTCCTCCTCTCTGTTCCAATACTCCTTCTCCATCTTCTCCTCATCTCTCTCATCCTCCTCCTGCTCCTCCCTCTCCTCCCCATTCTCCTCCTCCTGCTCCTCCTCCTCCTCTCTTCCCCGTCCACCTTCTCCACGTCTTCCGCCTCCTCTCCTCCTCCTCCTGCTCTTCTCCTTTTCCTCCTCTTCCTCCTCCTCCTCCCCTCCTCCTCCTCCTCCTCCCCCCTATCTTCCTCCTCCTCCTCCTCCTCCTCCTCCTCCTCCTCCCCTCCTCCTCCTCCCCCCTCCTCTTCCTCCCCTCCTCCCCCCTCCTCCTCCTCCTCCTGATTCCCTTCGTCCTCCTTCTCCTCCTGCCCCCTCCTTTTCCTCCTCCTTCTCCTCCTCCTCCTCGTTATGTTCCTTCTCCTTTCCTTCCTCCTCCTCCTCCTTCTCCTCCACGTCTACCTCCTCCTCCTCCTCTCCTCCTCCTCCACCTCCTCCTCCTCCTCCTGCTTCCCTCCTCCTCCTCCTGCCCCCCTCCTTTTCCGCCTCCTTTCTTCGCCGCCTCCTCCTCCTCCTCTAAATTCTGCTCCTCCTCTCTCCCCTCCTTCTCCTCCTCCTCCTCCACCGTTTCCTCCCTCTCCTCCTCTTCCTCCTCCTCCCCCTGCCCCTCCCCCTCCCCCTCCCCCCCTCCTCGTCCTCCTCCTGCTCCTCTCCGTCCTGCTCCTCCTGCCACTCCTACTCCTTCGCCTCCTCCTCGTTATCTTCCTCCTCCTCCCTCCTCCTTTTTCTCTTCCGTCTCCTCCTTCTCCTCCTTCTCCTCCCCCTGCCCCTCCCCCCCCTCCTCCTCCTCCTCCTCCTCCTCCTCCTCCTCCTGTTCCTATCCGTCCTCCTTCTCCTGCCCGTCCTCCTCCGCCTCATCCTCCTCCTCCTCCACCTCCTTCTCCTCCTCCTCCTCGTCGTCGTCCTCCTCCTCCTCCTCATCCTCCCCGTCGTCCTCCTATGGGCCCGAGCGCCGGCCAGCGGCGCGAGGGGCCGCCTTCCTCGCAATCCGCCTGCCCGTTGCGATGTTCGGTGCAGATCTAGGAGGAGTATGAGTATGAGTATGACCATGTGACAGAGTCAGCCGTGCCAACATTACGTGACGAATTACACATGAAGGCATGACTATACACGACCACGGCTCTGCTGCTCACGTGCACTTAACTCCTTAGGCCATAAACCACGCGAAATCCTATCGAGATATACAGCTCGATGTGTGGTGACACGCCTGGTACAGACCTTGCCAAGCTCACGTAGGACCTCGGAGGCAAAGCAACCGCACAACTTACAATACCAAAGCTTAATATGTGTATGATACTGCATACCATGAGATTGGGCCACCCACCCCCCCGCTGTGTGCAGACGTACCAGGGGGTTTATAAAAGGTTGGAACCGTTATAGTTGACGGTGTGGAAACACTCTGATTGGCGCCACTTGGTCGCAGCGGCTCTGCTGGCCGATCCTCCGCAACAAGTGCACCTCCTCCCACTCTCATTGAGAACGTGGGAGGTAGACAAGAGGGAGAGAGCAGCAGCAGAAGGAGGACGAGGGACGGGGGAGGATGATGCTTTTTCCTGTGCACCAGGGGCCGTATCGGCCTCCATCGCGTCGATCGTCGCCCTCAACAGGCGCAGCCGCACGAGCCTCGCTCTCCGCTCGTGTAGGAGCAGGAGGAGGAGGAGGAGGAGGAGGAGGAGGAGGAGCACGAGGCGGAGGAGAGTGAGAAAATGGCTCGACGTCTCGTCTGCGCTACCGCTCCACGGAGTGTCGTGGAGCCGGCGGGTACACGTGGTCGAGGGCCTGCAGTTCGTGCACTCCAGGCGCATCGTCCACAGAGACCTGAAGCCCGAGAACATCCTGCTGGCGCCCTCCCAGGGCTCGGCGCTCCCGGACGCGAAGCTCTCGGACTTCGGCCTGTCGAAGCAGATTATGGACGGGTACACCCACGCGGAGACCGCCTGCGGCACCCCGCAGTACTGGGCACCGGAGGCCCCCCGCCCGAGGAGGGAAGCACCAGGGGCCCCCCCCCGCGAGGTCGCGGGGTCGCTCGCGGCTCCGAGTCGCTCGCGGCTCCGAGCTCGCGGCTTCGGCCCCTCGGCCCCGCTTTTCCTCGTCCATCCTCCCTCCTCCTCTCTCCTCCCTCCTCCCTCCTCCCTCCTCCTCCTCCTCCTCCTCCTCCCTCCTCCTCCTCTCCTCCTCCTCCTCCTCCTCCTCCTCCTCCTCCCTCCTCCTCCTCCTCCTCCTCCTCCTCCTCCTCCTCCTCCTCCTCCTCCTCCTCCTCCTCCTCCTCCTCCTCCTCCTCCATGGGGGACGTCGCGAGGGCGCGAAGTCGCTGCCGTGCACACGGGAGCCCTAGAAGTACGGTGAGGGGCCTGTGCGTGGCGCGCGTCGCGCCGCCGGTCCTGGCCGCCCACCGCGCCCCGGCGCGAGGCGTCCGGCGCGCCTCCCCGTCCGGCAGGCGTGCACGCCTTGTAGCCTCGGGGGTGGGCAGACCTCCTACCCCGACACGTCGATTAGCGAATTGGCCGTCTTCGGTTCGCGAGAGGGCGTCGCGGCCGGAGGCGCCGGGGCGTCCAGTGCCGACCCAAGAAATCCTCTCGGACTTCCGACAAATCATTTGTGTGGTGCTGATTCTCGGAGGTGGGCAGACCTCCTACCCTGACGCGTCGATTAGCGAATTGGCCGTTTTCGGTTCGCGAGGGGGCGTCGCGGCCGTCATTTTTGCGGGTCCAGGTCCGCCGGTTTCGGTCCCAGGCCGTCTTCACTAAGGGGAGGTTTACTGAAGGGAGGTTTGTCCACCGCCGATAGCCGTTCCCCAGCCACGGTTGCGCCGTGGCCGCCTGCCGGTAAACATTAGCATCAAACGGTTGAAAGGGAAAACAATCGGGGGTGAACAGAACCCCCAACAGTGACACGTCGATTAGTGAATTGTCCGTTTTCGGTTCTCGAGAGGGCGCCGCGGCCGTTATTTTCCAGGCTTGCGCCCGCCAGGTTTGGGCCTCAGGTCGTTTTTCACTAAACCACGTTTTGCTAATACTAAAGGGAGGTCTCTCCATCCCCGAAACAGAAAAACGTTCCCCAGCCCCGCCCAGGCCCCGCCCCCGTGCCGTGAAGCAGGGAGCCACGCCATCGGCTTGCGAGGGCACGGCGCGTCGCAGGGGCCAAGGCCGCGACACGCTAAGCGACAGGTCATCACCGTGTGCGCTGTGCCCGTCCAGTCGCGCGTATCTCAGGAGGGGAAAAAACATACAGACACAATTAATCGTCGACTCCAATGAAAATGACATATAGGAAAATGTGGGAAGTGGGGGGAAGACAAACACCCAGAACATATGGGAAAATATGGGGGATCATTTTATTTGTGTGTATTTATTTGTGTGTCCCAGGGCCCCTTCAGTATCTGCGGCCCGAGGGGGGTGGGGGGAGAGGATCGAGGACTGATGTCCTGGTCCTGGTCGATCCTGGAGCCCCAGGGTGCAGCGGGGGCAGAGCACTCGGTCGCAGCCAGACGGAGATCACGCTGCTGTTGTCTGCGAACGTTGTAGCGGCCTGTGGCGGCGTCAGTCCGAGCTACGGCCTGAGAGCGGATTTGGCCGCAGTCACCGCCTCACGCTGCAGGCGCCAAGTCAACGACCTGAAGCGTGCGAGAATTCTTCGGGCTTAGACTGCTGTGTGGAGCTCGGGCACGGTACCAAGGTGTCGCGCCACAGTCAGGACCAGGGGCCTGCAGCATTGGCCAGTTGTGGCGAACCCCCGCGCAAGATATCAAGGTCCCTGGTGGAATCAACTGCGCGAAGAACAACAGCCAGCTGTGGGCGCTGACGTATGCACGCGAAGCGAGGGCTGCCAAACCATTGGTACTTCTTGGAAACAACGCTCTGGGCGTTGTTTGTTTCGGATTTGCACTTCGGCCTCTCAACAAGCTAAACACGCTGAACGCACGCTACGTTGTTTAGCCACTTGATTGGGTTTCTACTAGCGTTGTCAGGCCCGTTGCTGTCGATTTTATTTTTTTTAGCATCGTATGCTTTCTTGTCAAAAGGCTGGTCCTTTTTTCACTGCCACCTTCGCTCCCAGTCTTCGGTTCATGCCGCCAGTCTGCGTTGAGCGCAGAGCTAGAAACGCTCACGCAACTCTGACACCTGTCCCATACCGGCGCGGAACAGGCTCGGAGGCCCTGCGACCAGTCGGCAACGGCTACCAGATAATGTCACATTTGTTATAATAGAAGTATAGGGGAGACTGGAGGCAAGATGAAGGAACTGAGGAGGTGGTAGATAGCAATGTTCAATAGCGCTATCAACATATCTGAAAACGCCAAACACTGAGCCCAAAACGCAAACACCATGATCTGTGCTGTTTGTCGTTTCTTGCTTGAGAAAACTTTGTTGCTGAGACCTAAACTCGTAAAACAAAACATTTCCTTCACTGCCGAGTTTTAAACACTTTGGACCCGCGGTTCCGAGATACCAAGGGTTCGCGTGAGTTGGACAGGCGCAGCGCCCTGCTCCTGCTTTGGGAGGGAGGGGCCCGGCATCTGCATCCTCCGTCGCATGCTTGTGTTTTGCCCCGCGCCCGTGCCAGCCCCGCAGGTTGTCAAGCACACCGTGCACGGGGGCGGGAAGTACGACTTCCGTGCCGACCTCTGGAGCCTCGGCATGGTGCTGTACGTCATGCTCATGGGCCGCGTGCCCTTCCAGCACGGCGAGTACGTCCGCTTCCGCGGCACCTGGCACGCCGACGAGCTGCACACCGGCCTCACCCGCCGGAGGCCGCAGGACCGGATGAGCCTGGAGGAGTGCCTGCAGTCCGCCTGGGTCATCGACAGCGGGAGGCATCTGCGGTCATGTGTGCGTCGGCGGCGAGCGAGGGGGGGAAGGCAGAAGGAGAAGGCCTTCTCAGAAGGCGGCGGGACTTCCCAGAGTGAAGGCTCAGAACACTTCTCAGAAGGCATGGGGGCCTTCGAGCCTTCTGGGCAGGCCTTCTCCGTCTCACTTCGCCCGGGCTCGCCGCCGATCATCGTCAGCGGGAGGCATATGTGCGGTCATCTGTGAGCCCATTCGGCGCTGGGGTGCAGGACGCCCCCGCTGGGCTTCTTTCGAAGAAGACTGAGCGACAGAAACATAAACTTTCGGGGCTCCGCGCGCCAGGGAGGGGGGTCCAGCGCAGGTCTAAGAAGTCCGCGCGGAGCGGCGAAGGTTTTTGTTTATGGCGTCTTTCTCGTTCTATTCCTTGGGTTGCAGACAGCCTTCAAGCTCTGAGCCCCAGCCGACGTTTCAGAGATCTGGCCTGCAGGGGTAGGCTTCACATGTTCGGATGCAGCTTCTTGGAGGTTGATTCAGAATCGGTGCTGGCTTATCCCTGGTCGAACTGGCCTGTCTGGCTTACTCCTGCTGAACATGGAGCTATCCCGCTTCATCTGGCTGAGTCAGACTTAATCCAGCTTCGTCACGAGCTTAATCCGGCCTCATCTGGCTCAATGGCCCTTGATGGGGGGGCCATCGCCCCTACTCGTTCGGACGAGTGCTTCCCAGGGGTTGCCTTCCAACGCGCGCGGTTGCCTGCAAGGCAGCAGGCGGCGCCCGGCGCGCTGACGAGGAAGGCGCTGTCCGAGTCGCAGCTTTGCGCCCAGGGGTCCCAGCCCGCCCGGCTGGACATCCGGCTGCCCCGCGCACCTGCAGACGTGGCGGCTCTCAAGGCCGCTTCTTTGTTGTGCATGTTGTTGACAATCCTCCTCCCTCCTCCTCCTCCTCCTCCTCCTCCTCCTCCTCCTCCTCCTCCTCCTCCTCCTCCTCCTCGGGCGCCGCCTCTGCTGCGCGCCGCGCGCCAGGGATGGGGCTCCAGCTCAGGTCCAAGGGATCCGCTCGAGCCCCCGACGGATTTTGCCAGTGCGGCTTGTTCTTCCTGTAGCGTAGGCACCAGGGTGGAGATGTGGCGTGGGGGGCGTGTTCGGGAGAACCGACAAGTTGGGGAGAATCTTCGAGGCGCGGATTTATCCATGGCCAACGCCTTCGGGGGATCTCGTTCTTCGGGGACCTCGGCGGGCGGTTTACATGGATGTATTGGGTCCCCCCCTGGCAGAATGTGCGGGGATTGTTGCCTCGCCGTGTGCGTTCCACTATTCACAACGTGCCTACTCGCCAACGTCCGATGAACACATGTTTGCCTCGACGTAACGGATCACACATCCCCCGCGGCGGATCCATGGCACTTGCGAGTAGTTGCTTTGCGAGCAGCGGAGCGTGCCTGTCTGCCGCACTCTTCGGCGCCCAGATGGCCCCAGCACGACCCTGGGACAGCTTCGGACGGCCTCGGCACAGCCCTGGACGGCCTCGGGACTGCCTCGTGCTGGCCTCGGATGGCCCCGGACACAGCGCCGAGGGCCCGGTCAGGCGGACAGGTCGCCTGATTCGGCAGTCGCCTGATTCGGCGGGTCCAGAGGGCATGGTTATGCCAGGGTGAGGAGGAGGAGGAGGAGGAGGAGGAGGAGGAGGAGGAGGAGGAGGAGGAGGAGGAGGGTGGTTTGCGATCGGCGCCGTCGGGACCCGGCGGGCACGGCGCTGTCCTCGTCGGACTTCCGCGGGATGCAGCGGAGAACCCCTTGTCAAGGTCCCCGCCCGCCCCCCAGGATGCCGGCTGCAAGCCCCACCCTTTACATCGGGAGCCTTGGGATGGGGGTCAATGTAAACGGCAACGGGGGTCAGCTAGACCGCCCGATCTTTCAGGATTCTGCAGGGCCAGGGTCGCATTGACCTGGGTTTGGGTGCAGGATCCTGCAGGATCTTGCAGGATCCTTCACACTGACCCCGGTTTGGGTGCAGGAGCTTGCAGGATTCTGCAAGGCCTGACTGACCCGGTTCTGGATTGACCCGGGTCAGAAGATCCCCGATTGCACACCACACCCATCGAAGTCGCCGACTGATGGAGTCAACATACAGTGAGCGGCTTGAATATGCGACACTTACTTTCGACAAAAGGGGCTCGGTCGTTCCTAAGGCTTACATGCGTTCTTTATCGCTCCTCATGCGTTACTTCTTATTTATCACTCCTGATGCGTTCTTCCTCGGGAGAACAGGGGGTTGTTGATCGTTTCTTCGGTCAGGCCGATGACTGTAAGGCAGGGTCTCGTCCTCTCCCTGTGCGTGCCTCCCCGGCCGCCCAGTCTCACCCCGCGGGGCTCCTCCGCCCCGCCGGCGACAGGGGGAGCTGCTCGACTTCGCGTCGAGGCACAGGGTTCCGGCGAGCCTGCACTTCCTGCACCTCAGCGTGACGTTCAGCGAGGCCATGCCAGAGGACTCGAAGCAGACACATTTCTTGATTCAAAACTTGTGTTACGTATATAAGAACTGCAACTAACAAAGCAACAGTAACACAAAAAGACTGGATTCGGAGGCCCAACGCATATTTTTTGGATCGGCGCTGTGCCCACCTTCCCTGGCGCGTGGAGCGCGCCAGGGGTGGGGTGTCGCCGGAGGCGCATCCAGGGGGTCCAGCGCCGATCCAAGAAGTCTGCGCGGGCCTCCGACAGTTTATGTTCACAGAGTGCACGAGGGTTAAGAACATCGGCCATGCGCAGAGGGGTGTAGGGGGAGGGGGGAATGCTTCTTCTTATAATTTCCCCTGCTTTTAAAGGGGGTTGGGCCTCTCTCTAGATGTAAGACCAGCGCCTTCTAGGAAGCAGCCTTCTGCCAAGAAGCCGTGTCCTCTACCCCTACCCCCCCGTCTGCGTGCCGCCAAGAACAACCTGCTGCATTCCCAGACCCCCGACGTCATGATTTTTCCAGAACGTCGACCCACAGAGGTTTGGACCCCTCCCATGGGACCGGTTTTTGTCCTTGGTCATTTTTTGACGGTCCCGAGGCCCGGTAAGGGCCTCCAGAGTTATGATGCTCCAACCTAAATGAGCCTTGATCACCAGAGCAAATGTCGAGCACCTGAAAAAGTACGGAAACTCGAGGGTTCTCACGTGTCGGAACCTGGGTGACACTCGCCCGGCACTGTTTCGACACTCTTTCGACACTCTTTCGACACTCTTTCCACACTTTCCTGGGTGCTCGAACTTCTTTCTGGGGTGTGGTCCTTGAAGTACGATGGGAGCAGCATAGCCCCAGAGGCCGAACATGACAAAAAACCTACCATCATGATCTGCTCTTTGCTCGAGGGGGTTGGGCTCCTCGAGCCAGCTGCACTCCGTGAGGCTCCCGGGCGGCGCCCGGTGCGGAATGCTGCAGCGCGCCCGGACCTCCGGGCGCGCGCTCCCGTGGCCAGCCTCTCGACCCCTTTGTGCCGCTTCCTTCAGGTCGGGCGCGTCCTTCTACAGGAGGAATATTCCAAAGCAGTACGAGAGTAGTCGCGAGATGATTTTGTGATTCTTTTGGGCCATTTTGGAGTATGTTTTGGCTGGTTATTTTTCGTCCCAACTCTCCCTGTAGGAGGACATGCCCGCCCTAAAGCTTCCTCCTCCCGAGGACGCCGCCAAGGAGGCCGAGGAGGATCCAGAGGGGAAAGCACACAGACACAATCCATCGTCGATTCCTCCAGGGAAGATGTGGCAATGTGGGAAGTGGGGGAGGAAGACGAACATCCCCGAAACCTGGAAGCATCCGGGGAATCCTGGGATTACAGTCGGGGCCCTGAAGAAGGAACCCTTTAAGTTGGGGAGGGGCTTTGCGTTCCTTAAGTGTTTCACAGCTTGCCTCAGGTTTTCCTTGTGTTTTCGATGGGGAATCGAAGTTTAACTTGTTGAAAGAAGGGGCCTCGTTCCTTATTTAGGGTTCCTTAGGTCAAGGCCCCGACTGTAGTGCGTATTTGTTTGTGTGCCCCTGGGGCCCCTCCGAGGAGCTCGTCGAGCTGGCGCGGCGGCACGTGCCCGAGCTGAAGGCGCCGGCGGGGCAGGGCGGGCAGCCGCTGCTGTCGGGGGAGGTGCTGCAGCAGCGCCAAGAGGAGCTGGAGTCGCTGGAGGCCGTGTACGGCTCCGAGCTGGAGGTTCGCTCCTCCCCTCCTCCTTTTCCTCCTCCTCCTCCTCCTCCTCCTCCTCCTCCCCAGATCTGATCGCGTCGTGGGGAAAATCAGGACGGAAGCTTTTCCGCTATTTTCGGCCTCTGGGGGCCCTTCCCGGGCCTCGGGGCCGTTAAAAACGAGTCAGGATGAAAAAGTCGGTTCCCGGGAAAGGGGTCGAGACCTCTGAGGGTCGTTGTTATGAAAACAAGCGCGGCGTCGAGAATTTGGGTTCCCTGTCCCCATTTCTACCCCCATCCCGAGGAGGAGGGAGGAGGAGAAGGAGGAGGAGTGAGGAGGAGGAGGAGGGAGGGGAGGAGGAGGAGGAGGAGGAGGAGGAGGAGAGGGGGAGGAGGAGGAGGAGGAGGAGGAGGAGGAGGAGAGGAGAGGAGGAGGAGGAGGAGGGAGAGGAGGAGGAGGAGGAGGAGGGAGGAGGAGAGGAGGAGGAGGGAGGAGGTGGAGGAGGGAGGAGGAGGAAGAGTAAGGAGGAGGAGGGAGGGAGGAGAGGAGTAGGAGGAGGAGGAGGAGGAGGAGGAGGAGGAGAGGAGGAGGAGGAGGAGGAGGAGGAGGAGGAGGAGGAGGATAATAAGATAGGGAGGGAGGAAGGGCGGGGAGGGAGGGAGGAGGAGGAGGAGGAGGAGGAAGAGGAGGAGGAAGAGGAGGGGTAGGAGGAGGAGAAAGAAGATGAATAATGATTATACTTCTAATTATAATCGTAACCATAATAACCGTGATAAGGAGAGGAGGATGAGGAGGGAGAAGGAGGAGAAGGAGGAGGACCAGTGTAAACACAAGACCCATCAACGATGTTGGAGTACACCCTCTCGAATCACAAAACCCCAGCTCCTGCTTCCAAGGCTCCATGAAGGGTTCATTCCCACTGAGGCAAGAGCCTCTTATGTGGGACAACTGCCACCCGCCACATGAAGTTCAACGCCACGAGTCAATCTGCCAGTTGCGTCTTGACGATCCTGAGTTGTGCTAGAACACCACTCCTGGGACCGAACGCCACGAATCAACGTAAATGTTTTGCCCAGACAATCCTGAATCGCTCCAACACGCCATTTCTGAAAAGTTAGCCCTGAGAGACAGTGAAACTCTTGCGAACTTTAAAAGGAGTGTTCGCGGCGCTCAGGCGACAGCCACATTTTGAAAAGGAGCCGCCCTCGATCCGTCAAGATCTGGTAAATATTTTGCATTCGTCTACGCGGAGCTAGGCGAGAGCCACGTTTTAAAAGGAGCCGCCGTCGACCTGTGAACTCTTGCAAAGTTTAAGAACGACTGTGCACGTCGCTAAGACGAGAACCAACTTATAAAAGTCATCCGCCCTCAATCCGTGAAGCTCTTGCAACATTTGAAGGCGACGGTGCGCGGCGCTCAGGCGGGACCCACATTTAAAAAACAACCCGCCCTCAATCCGTGAAGCTGTTGCAATGGTTTGAAACGAAAGTGCGGGACGCTAATGCGGGAGCCACATTCTGGAAGCGACACGCTTCCCTGTGAAACTGTTGTCGGTTTTCCAGCTTCGGGCTCGATTCAGAAATGGTGACGAAAGGTCAAGCGAAACGCCCAGCCCGCCTTTCCGACTGGCCTCGGGGTGCGGCAGGGATGAGTGGAGTTGGAGGAGGAGGAGGAGGAGGAGGAGGAGGAGGAGGAGGAGGAGGAGGAGGAGAGGGAGGAGGGAGGGAGGAGGGAGGAGAGGGAGGATGGAGCGGGAGGAGAGGGAGGATAGGGAGGAGAGGGAGCTGGATGGAGGAGGAGGAGGAGGAGGAGGAGGAGGAGGAGGAGGAGGAGGTGGGAGGAGAGAGGGAGGATGGAGCGGGATGAGAGGGAGGATGGAGAGGGCGTGCAGCCGAAAGAGGTGCTCGGCACGAGCGAGTGGCTCGTGCGGCTCGGCCCGCGCGTCGCCCTGCGCGTGCGGCTGCCGCCCGGCTACCCAGTGTCCCAGCCCCCCGAGCCGGACTTCGAGTGCCCGCCGCACGTGCGGGTCCCCGCCGAGCTGGCCGAGGAGCGGAGGCTCGTGCATGGAGACCCAGACGTGCTCCTCCTCCTCCTCCTCCTCCCACTCCTCCTCCTCCTCCTCCTCCTCCTCCCTCCTCCTCCCTCCTCCTCCTCCTCTCCTCCCTCCTCCTCCTCCTCCTCCTCCTCCTCCTCCTCCTGCTACTTTCGGCCTCCGCGGGGCCCGCTGGGCCCCTGGGGCCCGCAGCAGCAAATGGCTCAGGATGAAGAGCTGGTCCTGGGGAAGGGGCATGGTGCCCAGTTCTCTTTCACCGTTCCCAGGCCCCCTCGAGTAATGACAAAAGTCGCGACGAGAGTTGTTTCGCAATTTTCGGCCTCAGGAGGCCCTTCCCGGCTCTTGAGAGCGTCAATAAACGGCTCAGGAGGAGAAGTCAGTCCTGGGGAAGGGGTCGAGACCTCTGGGGGTCGACGTCACGAATTCATGGCGTCGGGGGTCTTGAAGCAGTGGCGAAGCGTCCTAGCTCGCCTATAGGCCCACCAAAGAATGTTCGAAGAACCTCTTGTGGTCTGCGCGAACTGTTCAGAGTACATCTCTGGCTGGGTCGGTCTTGCTGTAACACATCGGACTTATGTTCTAAGAAATTGTTTTTACTTATTAGAACACTTTCGGGTTCTAAGAACACTTCGTGGTAGGACTATAGGAATGCCTGGACGATCGGTCCCTGCTCAAGGTTTGGGGATCACCCAACCGGACAAGTCGATTGAGGAAATCTGCGCCGGTTCCCTGGACATCGGGATTCGAGCGTACCGGAGCAATCCCGGGTCGGTTTTGCTAATCGACGTGCGTCTGGCCAGGTACGTTGTGTTGTTTTTGGACCTCGGTGAGCTTCCCCGCCGGGTCTGCACTCGGCATGCGGTGCCGTGCGCACGTGGAGTGCCCTTTGGCAGCTTTCCTTGAAGGTCGTTCTGCTAAATGGGGGTCTGTCCACCCCAAAGATGGTACAGTGAGCAGCTTGAGTAAGGAACACTTGCTTTTCAAAAGGGGCACATTCCTTAAGGCTTGCATGCGTTACGTATCGTTCCTTATGCGTTTTTTTGTCATTTATCGTTCCTGATGTTTTTTCCTTGGGAAACAGGGGCTTCGTTCCTTATTTATCATCGTTCCTTAGGTCAGGCCGATGACTGTACCAACTGGATACCTATACAGTCGGGGCGTTGAAGAAGGAACCCTTACCGTTCGGGAGTGGCTCAGTGTTCCTTAGTTGTTGCGCAGCTCGCCTCAGGTGTTTCTTCGGTTTTCGAAGGGAAATCGAAGTTTAACTTATGGAGAAAAAAAGGGCCTCGTTCCTTGTTCAGGGTTCCTTAGGTCAACGCCCCGGGTGTACCGATCCTGGCCAGGCGCATCCTGGGCCCAGGGTCGATGTACGGTAGGTTCGCGTCGTGTCGACCAGCGGCGACCCCGCCGCCGGCGTTCAACCTTGAACGCCGCAAGCGACCCAGAATCGGTCGATGTTGAACGATCGGACGTTGCGGAAACGGCCGATCGTTCAAGGTCGAACGGTCACCGCTGTGTCAGAAACCATTGCCGGGGTCGTCACGACACGAACCTGCCGTACGTGCCTCCCTGCCCGAGCAAGGAGGGCATACCCTGAGATCCGGGCGTGGCAATTTTGCACGACGGGCGACTTCGCCCGGCCTCGGGCCCCAGGATCCTCACACATGGATTCGGCTTGACATGTGAAGCAAGGAGATCGCCTCGGGATTCGATCCTGTTTTTGTTGCGCAGTGATGTTGCTGTTTTGTCGCTAAAATGCTAACATTTGCGGACACACACCTATGTATGTATGTATGTATGTATGTATGTATGCATGCATGCATGCATGCATGCATGTATGTATGCATGTATGTTTGTATGTATGTATGTATGTATGTATGTATGCATGCACGTATGCATGCATGCATGCATGCATGCATGTATGTATGTATGTATGTATGTATGTATGTATGTATGTATGTACGTATGTATGTACTTGTGTGTATGCATGCATGCATGCATGCATGCATGCATGCAGGCAGGCAGGTAGGTAGGTAGGTAGGTAGGTAGGTAGATAGGTAGGTAGGTAGGTAGGTAGGTAGGTATGTATGCACACACACAAATATATATATACGTATGCGTGTACAGATATTATTGACGCTTCGCGTATCCCCACCTGCTGGGTACTGGCCCTGTGCGCAGTCTGCCGACAGTTTGTGGCAGTTCCGCTTGCGAGCTGGCGCCGTCAGGGCGTCTCCTCGTTGGCTTCCGCTGGCATTCGCTCAGTGGTCTTCTGCATGTGCACTCTTGCCGGTCTCGGCGCGGGCTCCAGCCGTCGGTCTGTGGGCTCGGTGTACTGGCCTCCGCCTCCTGTTGCTTGGCAGCTTGATAATCTGGCACTGTGCCCCAGCTTGCCTGATTGATTCGCCCTCTGGACTTTTCCTTGCGGGCCGCCGATCAACAAAAAAGTATCCCCACCAGCGCGTCCACAAACGATGCCCATGAGACCTGACGGTGGGAGAGAGGAAGAGGCATGCATAGTCAAACAGCGAGGGAGGCTTGGGAGGCTCCGTGGCCATCCCTGAGGCTCTTTTCCGGCTTTCTTTTGGGGATCCTGCTAAAAGAAACGCGACATGTCATATCGAACGCAATTTTGTAGGGATCTGCGATAGAATCCTGGATCCTGCTGAAAAGCGCGGAGATTTGTAGGATTCCGGCTTTCCGGCTTTCTTTTGTTATAAAAATACATACATACATACATACATACATACATCCATACATACATATAATACATACATACATACATACATACAGACATACATACATACATACATTACATATACACATAAACACAGCAACTATACAAATATGTGAGTATACATATATATATGACATAAGTATACATATGTGTATATACATACAGATATGTATGTATATATGCATATGTGTGTGAGTGTGTGCGTGCGTATGTTTATGTATCGGATGACATTCGCTCCTCGCAGCTCCTCGATCCCCCCTTGCGCTTGGCTCTCAGCGCCGCTCCCCCTGGCGGCCCTCGGGGCCGCCCTTCCATATGCCCGCGGCCGTGCTGGCCGCCGTCGTCGCGGCGCTGGCTGTCTGGTGCCGCGCTGCGCGCATGGGGGGCGCGCGCGGCCAGCGTCAGATGGCCAAATCCAGCCGTGGCGACGATAGTTCGGACCAGGTGTTCGGAAGGGGTCCAGCCGTGGCGACGATTCGAGATGCGCGCTCCGACCAAAAATTCGAAAATGATCCAGCCGCGGCGACGATTTGAGATGCGCGTTCAGACTAGGATACTTGATCCAGTGGGATCCAACCGTGGCGACGAATCGATGAGCGCGTTTAGGCTTCGGAGGGCACCCAGCCGCGGCGACGATTCGAAATGCGCGTTGAGATCGGATCGGATTGGGCCCAGCTGTGCAGACGAACCGAACGGAGTGAAACAACGCATGAGCATAAACGCTTGGATGTCCGCTCGGATTGCTTGTTTCGGCGCTCGCCGTGCATCCCAGTCAGCCGTGCAACGTGACAAATGGGGTCTGTCATATGACAGACCCGTCTGTCATATGACAGACTGGCGGCGCGTCGCGCGCCGCACTGAGAAATCCGAGCTGACCTCCGAACGTTTATGTTCATGCCATTATCGTGGTACGCGTGCGGATCGCCCAACCCTTCTCCGAGAAATAAAAGAAACCATGATAAGTGGTTGAAGAAGGCGAACATCCAGAAACTATAGAACATATGGGGAATATTGGGAGGTGTGTGTTCATGTGTGTGCCCCTGGGCCCGCTCGCATCATTCCACAAAAAGGCTCCGCGAGGGCCGCGAGGCGCTCTGTGGGCTCCTGGGGGGGTATCCTGAGCCCACCGCGCTCCCCATCCACGTTCACGCCGCTCGTTGAAAGTATCTCTGTTTGGACCTTAAGATCCCAATACATGTCACGTGTCGTATTACTTTTAATATCGATATGGTGTGGTTGTCATTGTTATTGTTGCGTGTGATCAGCCTTTATACTTCATGTGTCCACCTTTCTACTTTCATGTGTCTACCTACCTATTCTTATTGCTGGTGGGTACGTACCCTCCCCCTGGGCCTCGTCCGCACCATCCCCCTCGTTCGGTCCCGCGGGAATGCCGCGGCGCGAAATCGCAGTCGAAGATGGGGGTCCAGGCGCCCGAGGAACTACCAGGGGTGAGGGTTTGTCAGCCCGCGCTGCGAGGGCCAGCCACTACCATACTGCCTGACATCGTCCAAGGCGGCGGAATGCAACGCCCACGTTGCAGTGCACTCACAATTCGCGCGGCGGCCGCGACACCCTGGATTGCACGGCCCGACTGGTCAGTATCCGATGCCACCGCCGTGCAAAATGAAAGGCCGTATTGTAGTGGATGACTCTCGCAGCGCGGGGTTGGCTAACCCCCTCATATGGGGTCAAGAAGCCCAGGAGATATCCAGGGGTGCACCCCTGGAAATATCCTGGGCTTCTTGATCCCATCTTCGTCGATTTCGCGACGTCGCATTCCCGCGGGACCGAATGCCAGTCCTGGGCTCAGGGGTGGCATTGGATAAACACTGAGATGCCCACGGCGCAATGCACTCGCAGTTGGCACATCGGCCGCGACACCCTGGATTACACGGCCCGACGTTTCGACATTCGATGCCGCCGCCTCGTTATCCAATGCCACCGCTGAGCTCAGGACTGCAAGTCTCTGATATTGCTAGGCGCCTCGACCGGGCGATATCTCCAGCGGTCTGCAACCGCTCCTCGGGCCGCCCGCGCATCTCGCACGGCTACGGCCTATGCACCTACGAGTCTGCGACCCAGCCGCCGCCGTCGCCAGGCCCTTCACTCACCGCCGTCAGCAGGCCCGTCAGCGGGCCCGTCAGCAGGCCCGTCATCAGGCCCGTCATCAGGCCCGTCAGCAGGCCCGCCAGCAGGCCCGTCAGCAGCAGGCCCGTCAGCAGCAGGTCCGTCAGCAGCACGCCCGTCATCAGCA